GCTACTTTACTGTTTCAGGTCATAACACTGAACTTTTAACGATGCTTAAAATAACTTTTATAAACTCAGCCTGGGAGAAAGTTTTAGCAAGTGAAAGATCAAAGGTGGTTGTGATAGCACAGAGACCTGCCTGCTAAATACTTGTTTTTGAAAAAAATTAATTTAAGTATGTAGATGGCTATTCTCATTGATTAACAATGAGGAGGAGGTGCTCTCAAATTATATATACTCACCATGGCACTACTTAACCGTAGGCAAGCATTTATAGCATCTATACCCACAACTATGATGTTTTATTTATTCATGGAAAGATATTATAGGAAGACTCTAATCTTATATTATCTATAGGAAAACTCTAATCTTCAGTCATTCTGTGCTACACACAAACATTCTATATACAGATACAGAATAAATGAATATTGGAGCCTTCCCTCAGCATGGGAGGCAATTAATAAGATATGTTTTGGGTATTTCTTTATGATAAATGACCAGTTCAACTGAACATTGATTACATCGATGATTTAAGACAATAGCATTTCTCTGAACATCAGGGTTTCCATCGTTTAATTATTGCTCTTTGATCTTGTTGACTGAAAAACTTTGGAGGGCATAACAGACCAAAAGGTCAGGGGAAAAGCTGCCACATCTCATGGATTCTCTGTGTGGTACAAGATACCATTTTTAAAAGTCCCTAAATATATACATACACAGCTCATATGCCAAGAATGGTTTAATAGCTAGGGACTGTTCTTTAGTTGCCTTTGACAAAAGGAAATGGACACACACCAAATGCTTAATGAACATTCAAGTTGTGACTTTTTTTTTTTAAAAGATACGTAGATTTCATTATAATACGGAAACACCTTCCTTTATAATCCCTTTGTATCTACATATTGCAGGAGTCTCATGTTGAAATGACAATACCCAACTTATAAGCCTAAACTATGCAGCATTTTTAGACTATGTCTTCATTGCAAAAAAGATGTGTTTCTTGATGTAAAATCCTAGTGAAGACAAGGCACCCTAGGTTTACTTCAATGTAGCTAGTCAAGGTGAAAACCAGATGAAGAGTAGAGGGTTGACCTCAGTTAACTACATCAAGGTACAAACTGCCTGTATCCGTTGGCTCCAATAGGATTTTACATTTAAATAGCTATCTCGAGATAGGTATCTTGATGTAAAACGCACACCTTTTTTCCCCAGTGAAGACCTAGCCATAGAGTTCTAGAGAGGGTGCTTAGTTTTCAATCTTCTGCACTTAAATCTGGCATCCAAATTGTACATTTCAGTGTTCAAATTGTTAGTTAGGGCCCGCCCAGTCCTAAAACATACTGAGCACCTCTTGTGAAGTTCTGAGCATCCTCAATGCACAATACCTCATAAGGGCCTTGATTCAGCAAGTTTCAGAGTAGCAGCCGTGTTAGTCTGTATCCGCAAAAAGAACAGGAGTACTTGTGGCACCTTAGAGACTAACAAATTTGTTAGTCTCTAAGGTGCCACAAGTACTCCTGTTCTTGATTCAGCAAAGCACTCAACCACGTGTTTAAGTCCATCTGTATTCAGCAAAGCACCTAAACGCATACTTAAAGTTAAGCATGCACTAAGTGCTTTGCTGATTTAGGGTCAGGAAGTATTCTGCAGCTTGCAGGATCAGACACTTAAGCATCCAAATACATGTTTTAGATGGGTAAGCATCAATTTGGGTACTCAAGTAGAAAACCCAAATGTGAAGGTTGAACGGAGTGTCAACCAGATCTGTGAGTAGCCTGGCTTTTTACAGTTTGGGTCTCAGTGAATCTCAAACAATGAATCTCAATATTAATTGAAATGCAGATCTGTGTGTTTGCTTAGAATACATAAAATAATATAAAATATACTCAAAATATAAACAGAAGTAAATATTTCTGTAAGTAAATATTTCAAATATGTTGAAACTTTCCATGATTTAATTATTGCTCTTTGATTTCACTGGCTATGTCCTTTTCAGTAGCCATTACTTAAAGTACAGCTGGGAAAACCCTATTGTTCAGCACCAGGAGGCCTGAACTTTACACTGCAAAGCTGACCTTCAAAATTACATGATGACAATGCAGACAGAGAAATAAATACACGAGGGCCTCATGTGGTGGCAATGGGCATTGCTATCACTAAAAATACCAAGCACATGCATTTCTGTAGCTTAGGTGTCCACAATGCCTTAACGATTGTCATGTAAAGTATAGCAACATAGCAATACCGGAAATAGCAATTATATTCTAACTGAGTTCTGAAGGGTAGTAATAAAAAAAAAAACCCCTAACAAATAGTAAAGTCAAAAGTATAAATCTAATCTCAAAATAAGAACAGAAGAGAAAGGTTTAAACTTTTCATTTGGCATTCGGAACAAAAGACCTGCTGCAGTCAGCAGGCATGCAAGCAGCATGCAAGTAAGCAGTATGGCCCTGAGGATGTCACATGGGCCGCAGCTCTGTGCTGATTGGACCGCAGGTTGAGAACCACTGGTCTACATGAAGAACAGGAGTACTTGTGGCACCTGTGAGCAAGCCTCCCAGATAGGGTGACCAGATGTCCTGATTTTATAAGGACAGTCCTGATTTTTGGGTCTTTTTGTTATATAGGCTCCTATTACCCCCCCACCCCTTGTCCCAATTTTTCACACTTGCTGTCTGGTCACCCTACTCCCAGATCACATAGAGAGACTCGCACTAGAAGGGCCAGAGCTCGTAGTAGTAGGGCTTGAGCTAATGTGCTAAAAATAGCAATGTGAACATTCCAGCTCTGGCTCTCAAGCCTAGAGGGTCTGATGGGCTTGAGAGCCCAAATTTCCGCCCGAGCTGAAACATCCACGTTGCTATTTCTAGCGTGCTAGCTCAAGCCCCACTAGTGCGAGTATGTCTACTTGGGCTGGGAGACTCGTTTCACAGCTGCAGCGTAGACATTCTCTTAGATGCTCTGAAGGTAAGGATTTCAGTGGCATGTCCACAGTAGAACTTTCACTGTTGCTAGCACAAGTGCTGCAGCAACAGAGAGAGATTTTCCTAAACGTCAATATAAGCAAGGTCCAGGAGTCAGTACTTCTAACTGGTAACAGCAGTGCTAGAAATCCTAAAATCAGCATCACCAGAGTTCACTGGAGTGTACTTAAATAGCTATGGCCAACCCACGACCTCCATGCCCATCTGTCCCCTACACATCAGTGCTCAGGTCAGTGTGAGCAGAGTTTTGCTCACTTTGCTCAGCCCTGTGCATGTCTTTGCATTGCCTGTACTTGGCTACCTGGGCCTCCTCTCTCTCTCCTCATTATCTCCCTCCTTAAACATTGGGTCTTTCCAGGAATCTCATAGACTTTAAGGTCAGAAGGGACCATTGTGATCATCTAGTCTGACCTCCTGCACATTGCAGGCCACAGAACCTTTCCTATCTTGTTCTCCTCCCACCTGTCACGCCCTCCGCATCCTCCCTTGGCTGGACTTTGTGCAATGTCTTATTTTTGTATGCTCTTGGGGTAGAGATCTTCTTACACTTTGGGCAGGATGCTGGTCTTCACTATGGCCCCTTTATGTGTACATAGCCATGAGTTGTCCCTCGCATCTACACTCTGGTGTAGCAGTACGGTGGGAGAGGGAGTGGCTGAAGCACTATGAACTCCAGATATTCAGGCCTATAGAGCAGTCCACAGGCAGTCATGAAAGACTGTTCTAACTTACTGCAGGTTCTGTGTGGCTTCCACGGCAGCTCAGAATCTGGGAGGAACAAAAGGTGGTATAAAGCTACATCTGTCCCCTCCCTGCCTCAGAATCATCATCTCTTCTCAACCTCCCAAAAACAACAGTACAGAACATGACCCTGCAGTTATAACATTTCACATAAATTCATGATAGTACTGTATATAAATTATTTGAATACAATAAAATACATTTGTAAAAATTTTCCATCAGAATAATTGTTTTATGTACAAATGTGAATTTAAAACATAATTTATTTTAAGAGGAATGAAAAGACTAAATCAATTAAGAAATGCTCTTTCTCCACCCCACCCCACCATTAAAAGCAGAGGTCTGATGGCAGAATGAGAAACATTTGTATTCATTTTTTCTGATTCAAAAGCTACACCTAAACACACACACTTCCTTTTGCAATAATGTACACATTAATCATGTTTACCTACAAGATTTTTAACAGTACTGTACTTAAGATTTTTATTTGTACAGCATTAGCAAGAAAGGATAAGATCACTTGAAGAAAGGCTATGTTCAGAAGTTTGAAAGACAGCACCTTTTAAGACAATTTAACCCTCTACACTTCTGAGTCTCTTTTTGTATTTTAATGAAAACTTTGTCATTACTGCTACCACTGAAGAATCAATACAGCTATGGGAGAGAGTTCTTTTTGGCTTAGCTTACAATTTTGCTTTTTACGATGAGCAAAGTTCTCATTGCAGAATTCTTATTTCTGCTAACAATCGTCTGTACAACTCACAAAAATACAGCTGGATTTTCATACCCCAGGTTGAATATTTAGCACTTGCAGTTAGAGATTATTTTATAAGTTGAGAAAACTGAGCAAATCTCACATATAAATCAGAGGGAATTAATGTGGCGTTTACCAGTGGAATTTTTGCTGCACTTTAAATTACATTTTAACCAGCTTCACCAAAGTTCATGAAAAAGCAGACAGAAAACATAAAGGGCTACCACTCAGTGTGACACTCTGGGAATTACCTGCTCGATCACTATTTGAAGATAATGGGAGATGTGCTGTGAATATCTGCCCCAGTATCCCTCATTTGCTCAGGCAAAAATATTTCCATCTACAGGGTCTGATTCGTCACTCAATCATATTACTTTTATGTTAGTGTAACTCCAATGAAGTGAAATCAGTGTAGCAGAGGGGAAAACCATAAAGTGCACAAAGAATTCCACCCTCTCCCCTGCACAAAAAAGAAGCTATTATTACAAAAACTCTTCAGAATCACATTAGAAAACCCCACAACAACATACTTGTTTAACAGTTTGTAGCTCCTCTGTTAACTGCTTTCGTAGACCTACAGATTCAGTCAATTCTTCCTGGTAATAGAAACAGCGACTAATTAGTTATGCAGCAGCAAAATGATATCCATGGCATATGGACAGGTACTATGTTCTAGCTACAACATTCAACACAAATAAACGACTACCTTAGTAAAGACTGGGACCAGACCAAATCTTAATCTCTAGAGCAGTGATCCTCAACGTGGGCCAAATATGGCCCGCCAAGCCTTCCTGTGTGGGCCCGCCAGTTCATAGTCCTGGCACATCTGGGCTTGCTGCATCAGTTACCGGTCCTGGCGTGGGCAGCAGGAGGCTCATGCTGGCCACAGTGCACCCTTTCAGTGCTGGGGCTGCAGCCGCTTCACCCACACGCTCCAGCACCCCAGCTTCGCTATGCCCTTGTGCAAGGCCAGCAGCAGGCTGAGCCTGCCCAATGACCAGCGGGTGCAGCTACGGCTAAACAGGCACAAGCTGAGCTCCTGCTTCCTGGGCAGTGAGTCCTTTGGGGTTGGGGCCACCACCGCCTGGCAGTGCCCACTTGGCTTCTTGGGGGGCTCCCATGAGAAGTCCACAGCGCCCTGGAAGGCCCAGAGACTCCCCATTGCTGGCAGTGAGGAGAGAGGTGAGACTGGGGAAGTGACTGTGCAGCCAGGGCACAGCAGGGGGAGCTGGGCACCGGGGCAGAAGGGAGGCCCTCTGGCAGGGCTCCACCATGGGAGGCAGATCAGGTGCACAGAGCAGTCTGAGCGGGGTGCTCAAGATGCATTAGCTCTGCGCTCCGGCTAGAGGGCGCTGACCCCGCCATGATGCCCGCGATCCCAGCTACTGCAGCCCCCTGCTTATTCTGTCCCATGCAGTGGATCTGTCCCAGGAGGAGGTGAGAACTGGGCCTGATCCTGGACCCCCTTCTGTGAAGGTGGGGTGCTCTCCGCCCCCCCCCCCCCCCCCCCCCCCCC